GTTGAGAAACCCTGGACACACACACACACACACACACACACACACACACATACACGAACACACATGTATTATGAATTGTCTCAATTGCAAAATATTCCTTAACTGATGTGCACTATTGAGAACACTGCACTAGTTCATGGGTAACTTTGGCATCACAAATGGAAACATGAGGCGCGAGAAAACGCATATGCAACACATATCGCATTGTGCAAAAACCCCTGCCTTCCTGCTTGTGTGATAGGAAGGATTCGACATAGTAATTGGTTTGTCTTTCTTTTACCCGAGCGTTTCTGCCAAATCAACTGCCCCCCGCCGCAGCTAACATGCATTCTGCAATAATGCCCATCTTCAGCGTCACACAATGCACAACTCTTAACATTCAAAGATGCAGACGCCTTTTATTTTATTTCAAGGACATCAGGCAAGAGATGTGGAGAAGTGTTGTCCTGGGACCCAAATGGTGCCATTGCCAAGAGATGTGCAAGGCGGTGTGCCCCATGAGGTCTAGCGGCAGAGGTGCCAGTGTTTTCTTCACAGTTTCTGTGTGATTGAGGTATGGGGTGGAGCTCTAACACAGGAAGCTCTGGACAGTGACTTCTCTTGTCCCGGGTAGAAGGCAGGATGCCAGGAGATATGTTCCACAATCAACCTTGGATCCTAAGCGGGATCACTGGGGAGCTGAGAGACTGTTAATACCGAATCATTAGCAGTTTCCCAACTCTTTTGCAGAACAGCATGCTGTTTGGCTGCCAAAATATTAGGATTGAAAGCAGCTGGCAAAAAATGTTCAGCAAGGAAGTGAGCCTGTTCGGAGAAGCCAAAGGAAAAATTACTCTTAGACTGTGACCTGAGAAGAGGCCTCACCGCTCCTCTTTTGGATGGCCGTGCTTTCAGGCGAGGACTCCCTCAGACCCCAATCCCCAGGATACCTTTGAGGCAGGTGTGCTGTGATCGCTGTGATTCTGGGACAGTGGAACTGAGGAGACGGCCATGGTCCCAGTGAGTCACAGCTGAATAGTAAATTGATTCTCAGCATATGCTTGGTGATATTGGAAAATAATGAGAAGCAGGCAGAAAAATAAACACCACAACATAAGCTCAGCTAATTTTTCCAAAGACACAGGCCGAGGGGGATCAAATGACCCCCCCTGTATAGATGAGTGCCGAGGGAGAGATTGAAGCCCCATGAGTTAACTAAGGCTCCATCCTTCCATCTGACCAGAAGCTCTGGCCCAGTGTATCAGTTGAGCCTCAGCACAAAATTAGCACAGGTTTCATATGCCCATTTTACAGAAGAGAAAATTGACTTTGAAAGGTGGGGGTAGGGCTGGCGATTTAGCTCAGTGGTTCCATGGCCTGCCTCACCAGCTCAAGGTCCTGAGTTCGATCCCCAGTACAAAAAAAAAAAAAGAGAGAGAGAGAGAGAGAGAGAGAGAGAGAG